AACTTACGAAGTCAATTCAAGACGAAATAACGTGGTGCATGATGTTTGCCGACGATATTGTATTGATTGATGAGACGCAATCGGGTCTTAAAGCAAAGTTGGAAGTATGGCGACAAACATTAGAGAACAAGCGTTTCAGACTAAGTCGGAGCAAGACAGAGTACATGGAGTGCAAGTTTTGTGGAGGTAGAAGCAGTGATAATAGTGTAATTACTCTAGATGGTAAGGAGATACCGGTCAGTGATGTGTTCCGTTACTTGGGCTCCATAATTCAGAACAGAACAGAGTGGATGAAGTGGAAGAGTGCGTCAGGAATTCTATGTGATACAGGTGTGCCGACTAGACTGAAGGGTAAATTTTATAGGACAACAACTAGGTCTGCATTGTTGTATGACGTAGAGTGTTGGGCGAAGAAACAATGTCACATTCAAAAGATGAGTGTGGCAGAGATGCGCATGCTGCGTTGGATGTGTGAGCATACTAGGAAGGACCACGTGAGAAATGAGACAATCAGACAAAGGGTGGGAGTAGCACCTATTGAAAACAAGATGCGGGAGTCGTGCCTGCGGTGGTTTGGTCATGTGACTCATGTGCATAGAAGATCGAGTAATGCACCTGTCAGGTGTGTTGAGATGTGTGGAGAAGAGGCAGGGAAGAGAGGGAGAGGAAGACCAAAACAGACGTGAGTTAGGGGAGTTCGATGTGATATGCTTCTTCTTGGATTGGATGAGGGTACGAGTTTGGAGAGAGCAAAGTGGAGGGCGGGTATTCGTGTGGAGGAGTGATCTCGTATTATTATTTCTCCTCATCTTTTTTTTCTTGTTTTTTATTCTTTTATCCTTATATATATACATTATTTTTATCCTTTTTATTTTATCATTTTTAGGTATACTAATCTCTTTTTATATTATCTTTTTTATAATAGTTTATATTTTTTATCTTTATTTTCTTTCTTTTCCTTTTGGTGGTGATATCATGTATTGATTCATGTTAGCCGACCCTAATATCTTTTGGGACTAAGGCTTGGATGTTGTTGTTGTATTTAACATACACCGAGTAATATTTAGCCTGTCAAACGTATGACAAATGAATAAATCAAATGTATTACCGAGTAATATTATGTTCAAAATGTAGTCACTATGATATATACTTTAAACACAATTATAGTCACTAATAGTTACTACTAAGTCACATTTTTGTCTAAATATCTATTTTAAGCCGTGCTTTTTGAAAAAAAAAATACATATGCAATATTAGGACCATATGAATGATCATAGAAGATTATAAAATTTGATATATTTGTAAGACAATTGGACCAAAAATAAAAATTTAAAACAATTGAAAAAAAAGAGTTGCCATGCCACATGGCAAGAAATCAAGGAGGGGTGAACATCATCCAAGGACGGCGTGAACATCTTGAAAAATGTCACGACTATTTAGACAATAATTAAATAAGATAATTCGAGTATATTTTCAAAAGTACTTTTGATGGGTATATAACATAATGAAATTATTGACGATAGTTCTAATGTTATAGGTGTATTATTTTTAATATTTTATGATTAATTTGTCATTTTAGAGTGCTAACTATTTCCTAAAATTTAAATGGGAAGCTTTATCTGAGACGTCTAAAAAAAGCCAAATGAGAAGTTTAAGCTGGAACGGGAGGAGTATGTATTTATGAGGTGTTTTATGTTCTTAATAAATTTTTTGGTTTTTTGGTTCAGTGGGAGAAGCATGGTTGGTGTTTAAACTGTCCCACGTTTAATTGCTACGGATCCCGAAAACTCTAGTGAAAAGAAAGAATATGCTAAGGAAAACTATTTCTTACTTTTGGATTTACCTCTAAAAATACAAAAAGAAAATGAAATGTGATTGACATTTTAGATTTTTTACATATGCTTAGATTGCTAATTAATTACATTGAATAAATAAGAAAAAATAAAAAGTGAATTCGAACAAATATTAAAAATAAAAGTTATTTTCATATGTTTTGCAGTTACCTCGAATAATACAAAGGAAAATGAAATATGATTGATGTTTTAATTGTTATTACATATGTTTAGATTGTCCAAAATTTATCCGAAAGAACTAAATAAATAAAATAGAATATGGAAAAAATTAGAAAAAAATCATTGGATTTGAAACAATTATTTATTCTCCCCAATATTTTCTTTCCATTGGACTTTCTCCAACATATGCTTCTCCATTTAACTTCTCCTGGCATTTTCAGTGTTCTACATACAGTAAAAGATCATCTCTCAACATTCATGAACCATGGTTGTTTAGTCCCTTGTTTACTTGGATTGAAATTTTTTGGTCTGGTAAATGTCTGGTCTCTGTGTATTTTATAACTATCCAAGTCTGGTCTGGTCTGCGACTGAAAATAGTCATAAAAAACATTGTAAGTCTTACATAACTAGCACATTTCGTGTATAGTTTCTACTTCCTACATTGCAAGGTACAAAGGCCAACAACACTTAGGGGCTATTTACTTTCAACTTAATGGTCTGAATGGATACAGTGACTTATTTGGTCAGGTATATACTTGTGTTTACTTGGGACTTAATTTCAAACAACACTTATTCGCTCAGACAGTTTTCAACTTAATGATTCAGAGGAAATTCTACACTCCTTATCGCTCAGACATACGTATGTATCCCTTATCTCTTTTTTAACCCTTATTTGGTTCATCGCTATCTTCTTCTTCGCATAATTTCTCCTACGGCCGCCAACCTGCGCCTTTCATCTGCGGACAGTCCATCTCTCTCACCGCCGCCAGCCTGTGCTTTTCACCTCCATCTCCAGCTCTCAACCCTCACCTTCTCCATATCTATCGCTATTTCCCTTAATTTTTCTCTTTAGTATTTGCTCTTTATTTTGCTTTCGATTTCCCCTATTAAGAGCTCATCCTTGTTATCTATCATACTTTTCACTATCTACAATGAAGTTTAGATTTTTTGAGTAAATTCGCAACTTTTTTTAGGTCAGTCAATCTTTAGTAATTTAATTTACATACTCCCTCCGTCCCATTGGACTTTGCCAACTTTCCCTTTTTGGTTGTCCAAAAAAACTTTGTCACTTTCCCATTAAAGTAACTATTTTGTGGCTATACTCATTTCTCTCTCCTCTGCACAAACTTCAACTACACAATTTTTACTCTTCTTATTTCTCACTTAATTCAAGGAGTGCAAAGTCCATTGGGACGGAGGTAGTATGTTATATTGTTATACTTCATGTTTAATGTTGGATAGTTTCATATTACAGATTCATGAATGGTTTTCTAATGTGTTCTTCATTGAATGTTGCTATATAATTATGTAATTTTCATAACAGTTCAAAATTTTCTAATCTAATTTATTTAATTTACATGTGTCATATTGTTAAACTGCATTTTGAATATAAAAACAGGGAGGGATTGAATGTAATACCAGCTGCTTAGTTAAAAATTTTAGAGACATGTGATTTAAAGAGTTCAATGACACTTTTAGAGTTTCATTTGATTTAAGATTTCAAACGTTACTATCTATGTTGTATATTCAATATAAAATAAATCGTGTCGGCATGAGAATGCATCCTATAAATGACGGGTAAAATTACAGAGTGTGTGTATAAGTTATCATGACCAGACGAATCCTATTAGTATGTGTATATTAGGCCTAATTTGTATGGCAGTCTTTGTGGTTTATATTTCTTTGTATTTTAGCATTCGGTTATGCATTCGGTTATGCATTTTAGCATTTGAGCATTCAATTATGATCTTGTTTTTATCAAGCTACTTCAGTTAAAAATTAAAGAATCACGTCATAAGTGCTAATGTAGAAACTCTTTTAAGATACAAAAATTCTAGAGGTACCCCAAAATGTACCCCATTTTGTACCCACCCCCCTGAATTGCCTGTGTACACAGGCAATTCGTTTGAAAGAAGGCAGGACTTTCTGTCCAAATGTCTGTGTACACAGACGGTGTACAGATTGGGGTACAAATTGGGGTACCCCAAGCAGGACTCTTTAACATAAAGTGCTAATGGCTGGGTTTCAAGAATAATAAAAAGTCATATGTGCATTCTTTGAAGGCAAGAAGCTTCTGCAATTTATAAGCAACAACCTAATAGGCTAGAGCAGTGCATATTAGGTATGGAACACGCTGGTAGAGCAGTGCATATTAGGTAAAGGATGTGACTTTATCTTTTCTTATTATAAATATCTGCCTGCTTTTGAACAAGTGCAAATAAGCCATCCTATTGTTTACTTGAAAAGTTGGCAGATTTTTCTTAAATGAGTAGGCAGATTTTAATTTGGACTTCTTATATGAAAAGTTAGTCATCTATTACCAGTCTATGAATTATTGGGACATACGTATTTCACTTTAGGTATGGAACACGCTGGTGAATCAGAAAAGCAAAAAAATGTAGGATAAGTTGGAAAAATATGAACGTGGTGAAAACGTTCCTTGAGACCTGTATGGATGATGACAATATAGTCAACAATGAAGTACATGAGCAAGTTGAAGATATTGGAGAAGAAGTGCATGTAGCACAATGGGGTACACAAAGTCTACAATATATGACGAATTTGCGGGATGAAATCGCTAATAGACTAGTTTAAATTTAAAGTGTTGTTCTCATAAAATGTTTGACTTTTTTCTTATCATGTAATGTGACTTTTTTATTTTATTAATCCATATGAAGTTATGTTTCAGAAACAAAGAAAACAAAGAAAGTAAACAGACAGTATACATTCAGCATTTGTTCTAAACAGAAGGGTTATTTGGTTATTTGACGTGATTTAGACTTTTCATTCAGCACACTTAGTAAACAGTTTGTTATCTTACTGTCACTTAATCCAGACAGACAACTTCATCCAAACAGACATCTTAATCCATTCAGGACTTAATGGAAAAAAAAAGTAAACAGCCCCTTAGGTTCTCGGATCTCAGAAAATGCTATAAAAAGAAAATAACTTTATAACATAGCAGAAACTATGAAGGAAAAAAAATGAGGAAAAAACACTGGCCCAAGCTCAATAAATTTGATTTAAATGTTTGTTCAAATTCACTTCTTATACTGTGAAACCTTAATACATGTAAGAAATTTAAAAACATTAATCATGTTCCATTTTCCTTTGCATTTCCGTAGGTAAAACCAAGCATACAAAATACCTTTCCCAGCATAATCTAACCTTCCCTAATATTTTCTGTGATCCAAACACAGCCATAGAAGGAGGGAAAACAAATACCAGATGCATAGGCTATGCAGCAAGTCCTTGTTCTCTGGCTTTTTTCAGCCATTTCAAAGTACTCTCCAGTGTGGTGTATGCCGTCACGTCATTCAAACTCTTACTATCCACTGCGTAGTCAAACACTTTATAAGCCTCTGCAACCCTTCCATTCCGGCAAAGAGATCTAACAAATGTCCCATACGCACCTGACTCGAGCATGATGCCATTCTGTTTCATCATGCCATACAATTCAACCGCCTCTTCCAACAACCTAGCCTTGCATAGCCCATGAAGCAATGTATTGTACGTGCAAGAATTAGGTTCACATCCCTTTGCTTCCATCTCCTCCAGCAATGACAATGCTCCCTTGGCATCTCCCTCCCTACACATCCCATTCATCAAGGAAGTATATGTGACAGCATCTGGAAAATGACCATTTCCAACCATTACACCCAAAAACTTTTTGGCCTGTTGGACCCGGCCCGACTTAGAGAGCCCATATATCAATGTATTATACGTCACAAGGTCAGGTTTCACACCTTCTTCCAACATCTTCTTATACACACCCAACACTTCACCCCCAGAGCTTAACATGCAATAACCCTTCATAATTGTGTTGTAAACATAGCAATCTGGCTTATAGCCTTCCTCACTCAAAACACCCAAAAGCCGGGTTGCCTCCCGGATATTTTTGTTATTACAAACATTATCTATCATTATAGTGTAAGTGACTAGATCGGGCTTTATTCTGAAATTCTCCTTCATATCTTGGACAAAACCATTCATGGCGCTCACTGATCTATTCTTACACAAATGCCTCACGAGAAAATTGTAAGTATGGGAATCAGGAAGTACGTTCTTACTACAAAAATCCTTCACTAGATCAATGGCATGCTCTTCATGACCAGAGATGCAAAGGGTCCTTGCAGCAATATCCATGGAGACCATATCAGGAGGATACCCATTGGTGTTCATCAAATTGAGTACCTGGTGCACTGGGGATAAAGATTCGTCCGATGATTTACAAGCCTGTATAAGAAGAATATGGAAGGTAGACCTGTCCGGAGAAAAGGGCGGGTGGGTCTTCACCATGTGGTTCATGAAAAAGATTGCATCTTGGAGAGTTGAGATCGAAGAAAATGATTGAAGGATTGAGTTAAATACTCTGGGGTGAGAAGGGGTGGTCTTCTTGGGGTTGGAAATGAGAGAACTGAAGAGGGTTTTGGCTTGTGAAAGACTAGGGGAAGTGAAGGTGATGAGAGGGGCCTCAGGCTGAGGTTGAGGACTTAGGGGGTGTTTGGATCTGATTCTCAAAAATGATTCTGTTGCTTCGGGGAGCAGAAGCAGAAGCTGGAGTGTTTGGGTGAAATTCCAGAAGCACTTCTGGTGTTCTAATTTACTCTCAGAATCAGTTTTTTTAGAAGCTAGTAGGTACCAGCTTCTGAAAACTGATTCTGATTCTGCTTCTACTTTAAAAAAGAAGCAGAAGCAGAATCAGTTCCAAACACCCCCTTACTTGGGGCTTTTTCTTGGGGATTTGCTGGATTGCTTGTGGCTTGGGGGAAGATGGTGCAGTTCTCATAAGATTGTTAAGACCGTAATTAACTGATGATCTCATTGAAGGTGGAAGCTTCCCCATTTCTGCTTCTTATTCTCGATCGCGGTTTCTGATTCTGGGAACTCCACTCTGTTTGAGCCTTTCAGTTATTGGTTAGGGTTTAGGTGTTTATCGTTGAAAAAGAAAGTTAACGCAGCTGTTGGGTTTAGGGGTTTAGGAGGAAGACAATTAGGAAATTACGTTTATGGGATCCCATTACTAGAGTCAAGAGTAGGTCTGGTTTCATAATTTTTTAAGCTATCTCCCGTTCCATTTAAGTTCGGTTCCGCATTTAAGTTCGGTCCCGGTATTTCAAGTTCTGAAATATGAATTGGATAAACCCGTCCCGTTTGAAACAGATCGGTTTCAGGCCCGTCTCTAACAATTTTGATGCCCCAGACAAAAATGACAAATGAGATCAAATAGTACTTAAAATTCGTAACAGAATTAAATATGAAGCCATTGGAAAATTACTCCATACAACACTACTTTTAGTAAAAGGTAATACTTGACATAAAATTGGTACAGAGTATAAAGTATGTTAAAATATGAATTCTTCTAAGAAATAAATAATAGTATAAAAGTAGTACAATAACTTATTCTTCTTTCCTTTTGATGTGCGAAATTTGTAAGGACGTCACTACAATCAAGAGTATATAACACTCTTTTTCTTCTATGGATTGCGTACACACTAAAAAATAATTACATCATCCCCTAACTCTTGTTTTCGTTTCCCCGTCACAGTACACACTATATAATAATAATTTAACACTAACTAATTCTTTTACAAGTTAGTAAATATGTAAATACCATTTAAAAAGAACAAATTTCAGACTGAATTTGATAAGTGAATAATTTCAAAAAAAAAATAGAAAAAATATATAACCCAAATTTTCATTTTAATACAATTAAGAAATACGTAGTACGTAGTAATATCTAATAAATTGATTGTAGAATAACTCATTTACAAATTTCAATTTCTAGTTTCTACAGAAAATCGAAATTGTCAATTATGAATTGCAGAAGAATTGAAGAAATTAGAAATAGAAATTTCAAATATAGTGAATTAGTTAATCTTGCCTGGAAAAATATACGGAGTATTGGAGAATGAATCGCAGGTTGACTAGAGCTATTCAGTATTTTGGATTTTACATAATCCGATGTACTATAATCGTTGCCTCCGTAATCCGTAAACGTACTAGGTACCTAGGGTAATAGATTACGTGTCTTTGCAAGAACTTAAAAAAAACGTTTCTCCACTTTTAGTTTAAAAATGTTAAAATTAATTTTTTAAAATAACAACTTCTACTTACAAAAGCGTTTCCCGGTTTTTACTTTTTCTATTATACAAAAAGCATATGTTTTACCAAACACTACCAACTTTTAATTTTCAAAATCATTTTTTCTCAAACAATATCAACTTTTACTACTAATCATTTTTTCCAAAATCACTTTAAAAAGTTTTTTTAAGCAAACATATTTGCAAACCTTCCCTAATTAATAGACATTAGATTTAATTACTCCATTTTTAGACTATACATTATTCCTAATTCCGGAGTATTTGGTATTTGTCAGGATTATTTATCTTATTTGATTCAAGAGAGAATTTCCCAAATAGGAGTAAAACATAAGCAAAATGCAAAAATAGGAGTATCATGTTTTGAATAGGAGTAACTTTAGTGTTTGGACATGTATACCCCTACCCAAGTCCCAAGCCACAACAACTTTCATTAATAATTAAAACATAAAAGAAATAAGATTAATTAATTTATAATAAAATTGTAAAAAAAAACAAAAAAAAACACAAAAAAGTATCAAATAAAATATACTACGTATTAAATAAAATAAAATATTATTAATATTAAAAATTAAAATAAAAAAATTAAAAATGAAAAAAATATAAAAAAATATGTTGGCGTCTGCGGCCGCCTCGACAACCTCCCAACACCACCAGCTCCAACCACCAAAAAAATGCCAACATTTTCCCGAAATGCCATCATGATGGCAGATTTTGAGAAAAATTGGCATTTTCAAAGAGTAAAACTGTCATCTTTATGGCATTTTTAAAGAAAATGGCAGTTTTTACATAAAATGGCATTTTTTTCCCCGATCGGAGGTGACATTTCTGGGTGATGACCGAGGCTGCGGGAAAGGCATGCATAATTTTTTTATATTTTTTAATGCATTTTATCTATTTTTATTTATTTTTAAAAAGATAATTTTTTTAATTTTAAATATTTTAATATTGTTGGGATGAACTTCTATTATTTTTAAAATGAAAAGGCCTGCATAAAGGTATCGTTTCCAGTGAATGAACTTAGATTTTTTTAATAGGATCAAATAAGTCATATTTTAGAATTAACTAGGTTAGAGATATTAAGGGTACAAAATTAATGTTTACTCATATTGAAGGAAGTTTTAAGTTTTACTCCTATTTGTGCAATTATGTTTATGTTTACTCCTATATTGGGCAATTTCTCTTGATTCAATTACTCCGAATTTTGCTACCATACAGATTAGCCGCAGGCTGCTACTGGAATTGAGGTCCTCCAATCTCGTAGTCATGTACCGAGTATTTAATTAATATATTAATATTAATATATTAATATATATAATACTAGTTTATTTTTTTAAAATGATGCCCCCATCCAAAGTGGTGCCCTAGGCTATTGCCTAGGTGCCTGCTACCTATCACCGGCTCTGATCGGTTTGATTCGAGTTCTCGATTCTATTCTATGTAAAAAAAAACACCGCGATGCTAGTAAAGTATCTAGAAGTTATAACATTCTCCGACTAATTAAGTATAAATGTCACCATAATTTGTTAACAAAATATCTAATAACAAATCAATAAATTAAACAACACAAAACCACCCAAATTGAATAACACCAAAATTTAAGATCTAGAAATTTAGACATCATTATCTATAAACTAAAAAGATATCACTATAAAGTCAAAAGAAACTAAATTAATTACCATACACATTTGTCTATCAAAACAATTTAAAGCTTATTAAATCTCAAAATATAAGTGAGATTAAGATAATTAAATAAATATTCGCACTTCATTCAGTAAGAGTATTCGTTTACAAAAACATATTAAATATAGAAAGTTTGATGTATTTGGAATAGATAATTGGGAAAAATAATTTAGGTTTTTTTATTAACTTTGAAACTCTTTTTAATAGATTGTCAAGCTTCTTTAATTGAGAGTCTTTGTCTAAACACAAGTTCATGAAAAGCTTTCTCTTATTAGTATATTTTATTAAATGTAATAGAGTTTTGGGAAAATGGTCAGATAGATCCTCGAACTTACATAAAAAGGTCAAATAAGTCTTTATATAGGTGGTTCTGTCCGGCCATCGCCATTTGGGGCGGTTCCCGGTGGAATTTTTTGATGAAATTTTTTGAGCATCTTATTCATTAAGTTTAGTTTACTCATACTAAATTTCAGCTAAAACTTCAATCGGGAAGGCATTCAAATTAATTCTTGAAGATAACTACGCAGTTAAATTAGGACCCGACCTTAATCCACCCCGAACCTGTATTACCCTGCCCGAACCGTGATCCCTGTACTCATTTGCCCACCGCTAGTCAGATCCTCAGGCCGAACCTTTGCTAAATTAATAAGAGCATCTTCAATGGTACAGTGTGCACGGTGCACATGTGGCATGAGTGATAACCACATAATTAAATATTAGCAAATAAATTGTGTCACTCCTTATTTGAATGGTTTTATACAATTTTGGTAAGTTCTTCTTCACAATGTCAAGAAGACTGTCTCGATGTTTACATTGTGGTTGACATTGCTGAGAAAAATTTACCAAAAATGTATAAAATCATTCAAATAAGGAGAGAGATAATTTATTTGCTAATATTTATGTGGTTATCTTTCTCCTCTCATGTGCATCGTGCACATTGTAGCATTGGAGATGCTCTAATGTGCAGTGAATTTTATGGTTTGCCTTTCCTTTTCGTTTTCAATTTATATTTTCTACTTTTAAATATTTTTCTCGAAAAAAAATATTTCCTCCCTACTATTCAATTTTATGGGTTTCTTTTGTTTTTTGTAATTTTCCAATTCTCTCACATTCACACTCAAACTTCAAGAGTTAAAGGACATTTAATATCACAACGGTAAACATTGAAATTGGTTACATCCGAATAATAATTGTAGTGATGCGGATAATAGATTGATCAATGTTTTTTTTGGAAGAAGGTGGCTTATATTAATAAGAACCAACGTAAGTAGGGTACAAACCGACAAAGAGCCCAGTGTCTACCGTCTGCCTTTGAACCAGACTTAGAACCTGCCACCTCAAATGAAGCAACCAGATTCGCTGATCCTGAATTGGGCTTACATGAGCCAATGACTGATAAACCAAGCTCTCTATCACCTGTCCTATGTTCTAGAGTCTTGACAGAAATGAAAATAACAGCAAACAAGAGTACTCGATGTCCAAAGCAAAAACCAACAATAAGAAAAGCCAGACTAAAATTAAAAATGACTTCAAAACGCCAATATCCCCAGATCTTCACAAGTTTTGGCGGGTCTGAGAATCTCAGCCCGCCTCTTCCTTGTTTTTTGTGCCGTCTAGAGCCATGACATCCTCTCCTGGTTGCTCCTGCTCCTGCTCCT